ATAAATCTCTTGCTTACAAATTTTCTAGAATTTCCTGTTACCTTCCTACTGAAATATAAAACCTTCATTCAGGAACTCAAAGAGGTTCCTTCCTAATACATTTCCAATTCTGATTTCCAGATTTGTTTTCCATTCTGCACCTGTGACAAGAAGCTTCCACTAAACAAGGATATCTGTTCTTTCATGCAGACCCACTATTTCCTTTCACTTTCTGCTCTTGCTTGATTGCTTTCCTCAGTGAACATTTATTCCGGATTGCCATTACTAATGAAGGCACTGGGGGAAGAAAAACAAAGATGGAAGACTGACGCCCCTCAAGAAGCTCAAGATCTAGTGGAAGAGTCAAACACAGAGATGCTTTCTAAATGATGTGAAAGAAAGAAAGAGAGGCAATGAAGAGAGGCCAGGGAAAACGACACTTATGTCCCCCTATGAAAGCTAGGGTTTGTTCTTGGAAGAGTTAAGTGTTGAAAGACCTAATCAGGAAGTTAGCCTAGAGAAGAGAAGGGAGAAATGTTACTTTAAGCATAAGCACAATGACTAAAGCAGAATGGAAGAGAGAGAGAGAGGGAGAGAGAGACAGGCAGAGACAGAGAGACAGAAGGAAAGAGACTGAGTAATAGAGACAGAGACAGAGTTATGTATACAAACTACAAGTGGTTTGTGCACTGGAAGATAAAGATTTAGACTACAAATTCTAAAAAGGTTGCCTTCTTTCTGGAAAAAAAATCACACATATTTTTCCAGATAGAAATCTTTTATAAGCATACTTATAAAATTCATATTGAGCTATATTTATCTGGTACCATCCATAAAATGTCAGTTTTCTTTTAAATTTTACAGTTTTTAACACTGCTTTTAACCGCATTAAGTATTTAGCATGTGTTTTCTGAATGAAAGGAAGAACTCTGCAAAATCAGGCAGAGGTTACAGCAAATATAAATATTACAAATATGATTTATGTGAACAAAAAATAGAATCCACAGATTATTAGAAGAAAACATTTCTGGGTTTTCTTCAAAAATATCTTAGGTGATCCTATCACAGAATTTTCCAATTCATTGCCACCACTCTCATGCATGGACCACCCTAACACTATTTCACTATATCTCCATTGAAGTGTAATTCTGAACAACTTGAGTAATTTTGTTCCATGAAGTCAAGGTCTTTACTTGCTTTCAAAGGGAACTTCTTGTTCAGTCTTAAATTGTAGTAAAAATGAGGATCTTTAAACTTCAATCGTATGGAAACATTATGGTATCACTAATTTTCTATGTCATATTATGAGAACAAGGGTATAGGTAGGTACCAAAGTGTAGGTACCAAAAATATCTTGTAAGTCTACAGTGTTTTGTAAATATAGTAAATATTATCAGTGTGATGTTTCACTAAAATATTTAATACTGTTTAAAACTAAAAATATAGTATTTAAAAATAAAATTGAACTGAGTTGTACTTAGCGTAACAGCCCTCCCAACTTGCCTTTCCCTGTAAAGCATGTGTTACTCCCATCTTCTCTTAAATTTTCTTACTTTTGTGGTCATCTTCTCTTTCCCTATCTGTCATCCAGGAAAAGCTCATCTGTGTCCAGCTTTGTTCCCATTGTCCATACTCTAGTGCAGACAAGCAGATGATCATCTACAAAATCACATTCAATTTCACCTTGCTTATTTTCTTTCTTTCAGTTTTGTTGTTTCTTATGTTATCTTGAGAATAAGAACACAGGAAAAAGTAGAATCTTTTCTCTGAATTAGCTTGGAAGGAACACATGCAAATTCTCACATGTTTGTCACAGAGGTAGCTCAGCTCTGAAGGAAAATAACAACTGATTTTTCTTCTAATTTTCTTGAAAAGCTCAAACCAGAATACACTGTGTTTTAGGAATGCATATATTTTTCAAAATAGAATTCAGTATGTCTTAATTTCTGACTTTTAAAAAAGTAAAATTAGAAGGAGAATATATGCAAAGTAACTAATGCAATGGGAAAAAAAGAGTTAACTCTTGTTCTCCTGTTAGCTGTTTCCTTGATTAGAGATCAACTTGATTTCTATTCCTCATGTTTCCATATGAAAAGTTTCATCAAATGTAGTGATGGATCCAGGTACATCAGAATGTTTCCTTTAAACAAAACTAAATCCAGATAGAACATTGTGCCTGTTAAAATTATCTTTTAATCATAGCATGTTCTGAAAGATTGCTATACTGAAAGAACAAAAACTGTGAATATTGCAAACAAGAAATAAATCCCTGTGGAAAAAAGTCAAATGTTGCTTTGCTTAAAATAATTGAAGAAAAGCAACTTTTTTTAAAAAAAATAAGTAAAATAAGAGAACACTAGACACAGTGCAGCGGAAACTTTCTCTGGACCCTATTAGTCATGCAAATCCCATAATATATATTCCATTATGTAAGCCTCTTTCTACCTCATATATGTAATTTTGAAAAATTTAAAACTCTGTGTAAATATACATGCTGTGTTCATTCAAATAATTTTTCCTCTGTTTGGCTCCACAGATAATTATATTCATTGGTATGTTGAACAATGGATTCTGTAACCCTTCAAATGGACATATAAGACAATTGAAAACAACTACTTGTTATTATAAATTCCTGCTAAGTACACGTTTTCCTGTCCTTTTAAAGAGAAGGAATTATTTTATTCTAAACATTGAAAGTGAATTGGTAAGTCTGTCGTTATAATACATTGTTTTTATACTGAAAGGGTATTTGTTTAATGTAATTCATTCATAAGGCACTGTAAATTTAGTCCTAGGAATGTAGACTTAAAGATTGATGACTTCCAAACTTTTTTTTTTTTGACTAACAAGGAAAGAGGGGTTTTGCCTTAATTGCATAGAGCATCTATTCAGCCTCTAGACGTCAGGTTATCATTCCTCAAATGTGTAATAACTGAAATTAAGTTCTTCAGAGTTTTTCTTTAAATTCACCTGTACCTAATCCAACAGTGGCCCAGAGATATTTCCCTACACTTATTTCTTTGTGGTGAAACCCAATGAACAACTTTTATTAATACCATTTTCAAAGCTGTCTTGTCAAGTATAAGTAAAAGGAGTTCAGTGTTCTCTGTTACATGAGAATAAAGTTCTTCTGTTTTCTTTCGAAGTCTAGATTTTTAATGCTCTGAAAGGTCAAATTCATTCCAAATAGAAATCTCATTCCTGAGAAATATTTATAGATCTTTTTTTTTCTTTAACTCCTGTCATATGCCTTGTATGGTATATGTATATATCATTGTTATCTAAATGCATCTACTCTAATGTAAGAAAATTACACCAGGATTTCTGAGTATATAGTTGGTGTTTTTTAAGTGCTGAGGTTCAGCCTGGGAAAAGCTGCAGTGCTGTCTGTTAAAGCCACAGAAGAGAAGCAGGGGGAACTTTCAACAGTTATGGGTAAGGCCAGTTCTAAACAACATTTTCAGTTTCTAATCTTCAAAGATAACAGTTGCAGTTTGGTGGCCTCCTGGTGCAATACGTAATTTGCTCCTTTCATTCTTTTTTTAAGCTTAGTTGAAATACAGCAGACTGGATGTCCACCAGGCCCAAGTATAAAGTCACCATTTATTTATTATTAAAGTCCTATTGAATGAAAATGAGAAATTATTACTCATCTCAGTCTTTCTCATTACAGTTCCTAAAGAACTTTGCCGGGGCACATTATCTCGTAGACATCATGATCAAATGTTATTGTTTGCTTTATTATCTCAGTTGGATGGTTGGCTAGTCTAGAATGAAATAGGTTGAAGACAACACTCTGAGCCTAGAAGTCTGAATGAGGTTCCCATTCAAATGATCCTGATTGTTTGGGGGTGGGGCGGGGTGATTAGTAAACCAACTGAGCTTACACTGCATAGTAAGCGTCTGGACGCAGCACATTTACATCTAACAAGAGACCCCAGAAAACGTGTGTGTGTTTCTTAAACCTTATGTTCCGAACAAAAGCCTATCTCAGCAACAGACAATCAGCACTGCATTGCTTCCTGGGATGCGAGCAACACACTCAACTGCACATTTCATTCTTCCTCAGCTCCCAGCACTACAAAGCCCCTACTCTCTTCCCACTCCTGGGTCCCCAGATTGCTCCACAGAGGGGGGCTGGGAGAGCAGAAGCCTAAGGTCTATGGCTGAACCAGCAGCCCGCACCGAGGGGCCCCAGGGCAGGCGCTGGCTTTCCCCTGCCCGGGCCGCCCGGGGGAGGTCGGGAGGGAAGGTAGGGAGGGGAGCCGAGAAGCCCCGAGAGGGGACCGCACACCTAGACATTTAGGATTTTATTTAAACCCAGGGAGGCGGGCAGGAGATCTGGGTTCCAGCAGATTGTCCTCCCGAAGTTGCCGCTTCTTTCTTGGTAGATAAAGTCATTATTTCTGGCTGGTGCTGGGGGTGAGGCGGGGGGCGGGGGGTGAGGTCCCAGCTCTGGGCCAGATCCTGCCCTGTTCCGGGAGTCTGGGGAAGGGGCTGGGAAAGGTTGGGCCGGCCCGCAAGCTGTCGAGAGAGCTGGAGAGGAGGCTGGGGAGCGGGGGGGAGGGGGACCCGCAGGCCCAGGAGCTGCGCGGCCGTGTCCCGGGCCCCTCCGTGGCTGGGTTTAGGTGGGTGGGTGGGTGGATCGCAAGGGCGGGCCGGTCACGCGTGGGAAGAAAAGCTTCCCCCCTCCCCTCTTCCCCGCAGGCGGTGATCCCCGCTGCTCAGGCTGGGCTCCCCGAGAGAGAGGGCAGGGAGCGCCCCGGGTCCCCGCGTGCGCAAGCATGACCTCGGGGCCCCCTCCGGGCCGCGCGAGCGCGTCGGAGAGGCTGGGCGGCCGCCGCGGCCCGGGCCGTGTAACCTGACCCGAGCGGCCGGCCGGCCGGCGCGGCGCGGCCATTGAGCCCTCCCAGCCCATGAATCTCCGGCGCGTCCCCGGCTGGCTCGCCGCTCGCCTCCCGCCTCCCTCCCGCGCTCCCCCTCCAGCTCCGCGGGCTCCGCGCGCCTCTCCCTCTCCCTCCCGGTGCTCCTGCTGCCCGTCTCTCTCCACGGCCCGCCTCTCGCCACTGCCTCTCGTCTGCTCTCGCTCTCGGCAGCCTCCGTCTCTTTTCTCCCTCTCTCCTTTGAAAACTGATCTTTGGCTCTTAGTGTGAAAGTGATTTGAATTTGGCTCGGCGGCGCTCTGCGCCTGCGCTCAGCCTCTGGCATGCTGGCTCCTTCCAAGCAGCTGTTTTGGGTTTGAAATTCCAACATGGCAGAGGCTGCAGTCCGTCTTCCCTTCAAAAACTTGGAATGATTTCAAATCATAGGCACCTTCACTTAACCCTAGCTTCCATTCATCAGCAAACACATCGGATCGATGCTACGCTAACGCAGCGCGTTCTTGCGACGCACCTTCAGGTAAGAGGAGCTTCTTAGTTGTTGGGCTTCTTTTTTTCTTTCTACCATCTGTTTAAATTTTTTGTTTTTGTTTTTTTTTTCAAGAATACAAATAGACCAAAGATTCGTAATTTTTTTTAAAAAAAAGATCTTCGAGTTGTGCCGTAAGCATAAAATTGGATTTGCAATTTGTTTTCTCTTCGGTACGCCAACCTGCTATCTAATATCTATCTCCCCTACAAAGTAGCCCTGAAACGTTATAATGCATTTCCCCCTCTTTTTGCTGCTTAATCACGGTAACAATAGTATGAGATTAAGAGTTCGCGGTCGTAAGAATCTCAGTTTTCCCTATATGGGGTTTACTACTATCTTTTTTTTTTTAACTTCAAAAATTAAAGAAAAAAAAATAAGAAGAAAGCGGGGGCCATAGGGTGGGGCTAGACTTTCTTCGGGAACTAACTTCTAAGTAAATAAGAAGTGTAAATAAGAATCTTGCACACACACAAAAAGTTGAGGCTAAATTACCATCTCGTGGCCCGGGGAACGAGAAAAATGTCAGAAGATCGGTTGCAGAAAAATGTAAGCACATCATCTTGAAGAAGGGGGTACAGCGTGGTGGGCGTATTGTTGGCGAGGAACGGGAGAGAAAGATGTATAATTTAATGGTATATACAATCCACTGATCCTATTACCGTCCTCCCCGGAGCTCTTGTTAGTTTCAATGGGAGTGAGTGAAATTGACATGGACTTGCATTCCTGGTCATGTGCTTTTTTTCCTTTCTTTCTTCTCCTGTGATCTGAGACCCCCTTTTTGTTGATGTTGCTTTCCCCCTTAATTATATGCATGTAGGTTAAATGAATACCTGACGAAAGGGCCCACGTTTCAAGGCAGTGACATTTGATAGCTGAGAGGAAAAGTGGCTTTAATGAAAAGCAACCTTTGGAATTCCTGCTTGTGAGAAATCCAATTCAGCTTTTTGTGCTGCCAGCAAGAAATGATCAGTAGCACCAGTGTTTATGGTATGTCAGTTTTGGAATTTACTTCCTTTGAATCTAAATAGGAAAGACAAATTAAATCGCATGATAAAAGCTTTGAAACTGCTCGGCAATCAGATGCTCGCGATTATCTAATTCCTTTTAAATATATATGCATTTATTTATGTTTATTTTAGTCTGTCACTATGCTTATTTTTTTACCTGTACTATCACTTGTTTAAATATTTAAATTTTGATTACTATATTACTTGAATTCACTTTTTATCAGTTTTAGCTGTAATCTTGAAGTTGCATGTTACTAGTAATGCACTTTTTAAAGGCTGAAGTCAAATGGTATGTAAATTAGTTAAACTCTGCGGGGGTTCTTTTTTGAGGGGGTGGAGAAGGGAGGAGGTGGGATGTGGGGAAAGATTGCTAACTAATGAAACTATGTATATATGTGTGTGTATATATGTACACACACAGGACTGGATGAAAATTTCTTTTTGTCAACCTTTGAATGCAATTTGACTATCAGCTTTCTTGATGATTGCACTTTGTGGAGTAATCAGTTCTTCTGTGTTGTATTTTGGGAATGAGTGAGTAAAGGAGTATCTTTTATGTGAAAATAATATGTATATATTTATATATGTTGATTGTTTAAAGTCTTTAATGTCTTATAAAGAAACAGTGACAGGTTTTTCCCCCCCTCTTGCCATTCGCTTGTCTGTCAGCACTTTTTTTTTTTTTTACTTTTAACCTGTGACAGAATTAAATAATCAGGCACTGAAACTGACTTCATTTGAAATCTCTCTTCCCTCTCTCTAAAAAAAAGGTCAGTTAAATGGAGTGAGAGGAGGGGGGTTTTCAATAGCTCTTGTGGTTGTGCTGTGTGTACACTTTGTGATATTCAATTAAGACTAAGAGGAAACAACAAAAAATGTTAAAGTATTTTGGTTAAGCAAAAGATATGTCCACTTTAAAGTATCTGCTGTTGTTGTTCTTGTTACTGCATTTATTCCCACCCTGAATGCCTTCTTAAAAAGAGTAAAAGAAGGAAAGAGAGAATTGAAAGAAAGAAATAACAGAGGGGCAAAGCTGCCAGCCGTCTGCAGTGTGGCCCTGGTCACTGCTTTCTCCTAACACAAATGTGAATAAGAGGAAAGAGACTTCCAGACCCGTGGCAAGACACACACTTCTGGTTGGACTCTTGACTGTAGAACTACACACACCGCTCTTACATGGTAGGAAGGATTTGATTGAATTTTGCATTTGGAACTTGTTGACTTTGAAGCGATCAATAAAAAGATTGTTTATTTTAGATGCACATAATTTGCCCTGAGAAATGTTTTAAAGAGGAGAGAGCACAGCTTTTTTTCTTTTTTTTTTTTTTTTTACCCCGGAGCTGTTGGAGCGAATGGGATTGCCAGATGGGCGATTTCCCTCTGTGATGTTAAAGCTGTAATATATATTCAGAGCAGATTGGGCTGCTGCCTGTGATGAGGAGGATATTACATTTATAAATTTTAAATCGGAACTCAGACAATGTGCTGAGAGCAGAAATTGGATGGTTTGACTGTTCACCGTATTGATACTTAAATGTGATTTCTGGGTAGTAGTTATAATAATCATTGCAATAGTATGTAAAAAAAAAGAAAATCCACTCCAGCATAGGCAGTCATGTAATTCATGACATTTAACAGCAGATTTAAGTGTGTAAATTGCTAAATTGCCCTCCCCAAGTTTCTATTTACTATTAAATAATAGTCACACAATTTATTTCTCTATGTATTTAAATGCCTGGTGTACAAATTATGTTCACCAGGCATCTTGTTATCATACATTACTATTTGGTGGGTGTATACGTACACACACACACACACACACACACACACACACACACACACAAAGTACTTGTGTATTTGTATAAAGTGGTATTAGTGACTTCTATTTTCTGATCCTGTTACTCTTGATTGTTATTTTTAGATTTTGTTTGCTCTCCAATGTGTGGCCTAAAGGAACCAGAGCTACAAACCTAAAAGACTAGAAAGTGGGCAACTGCTCACACTCTGGCAGCTCTGCTGTTGCAAATTAAAAGTGTGTTGTGGTCAGGAAATGAAAGCTACAATGTCTCTTTTGAACAAGTCGTTTATCAAGAGAAACATCTATCAGGGACTGCCTTGTCACATTGATCCTCTAAAAGTTAGGTCTGAGGTGGAAGCTGCTTTGATGTTTTTGATCCTAAATTTAATACAACAGGAAAAAAACAGCAAACATCTTTTGACCAGTATAGATTTTTTTAAAATTGTTTTTTAGGACCAACAAGGTCTATTTATCAGTATTGTACTATGTGTGAAGTTTTCTAGCCATCTCAGTTGAGAGGCTGAAGCAAAGATCCTAGGCTTTATAAATTCATAATTGCTTAAATATGCATTTATAATACCTCTAGTTATGGTTGCTTCTTCATTAATACAGACATTTTGAAAATAGTTATTGAAAAGGAAAATTATTTTAAAAATGTATTTGGAAGAATATGAAGAGAGTTTTCCTTTATTTAAATTTTAGAGTTCTCTTTTTTCCCCTTTATTCCTGTTTCTTATCTTCATTTTTATTAGCTTTATTATCAAATTAGCTTTATTTGGGGAAAAAAATCACATTTTTTTCTCTAAAAACTATGTTCTCAAACATGCTTGCACACATAATTTCTATTGTTTATTAACTGTTCTTGTGGATAGTTACAAATTACATGGACTCATCAGTGTTTTGAAATTTCAGCTTAAAAATAGAGGTATGCCAGATTAAACATGGCACATATTTCTGAATACTGAATATGATGCATGCATTATTCAACATTTAAAAGGTATTGTTAGGAAAATCACCAAGATTTTTTTTTTTCCAAAAGCATTTTGTAGTGAAAAGGAGTCTGCTTTACTTTGAGAGGCAATGATATGAAGGAAGTATTTTCTTTGAAATAGAGTTTTTGGAGACTTGGCTTAGACTGCTGGTGGCTACTTGTTAATTTCATGTAGGTCTGTTAAATAAGCAGGGAAGAGTGTGGTGGGAGTTTTGAGAAGTGCAATACTTGCTAATTAATCATGTCTGAAATGAAAGAATCATAACAGTGTAATAAACTCTCATTGTCATGTTCCTGGAAAAGAGGAAGACTTCTGTTTGGAAGCTGTACCTGTGAGTTGACTTGCTTTTCTTTTCTCCCAAAAGGATAGTTTATAAGGTCTCTTTGGAGTTATATCAAGAAGCAGCTATTATTATGGTTTTCTTTAAAAACAAAATTTATCTCTCGACTCCACTGAATCTGTGAGATTTAAGAAACTGTATCTAATATTTTCTGAATGAAAACAAGATTTTTTTAAAGTTATATTTAGGATTCCTGCAGCCGTGTTTCCAAGGCTATTTTCCTTTCATAAATAGAAAATTATTATTGTTTTTTGTTGTTATTTGTGCCAGGCAGGAACTTTGAAAACTATTTTGTAGGCAGGTACTTTGGATAGACATTCAAGAGAGCAGAATTTCATTAATTGCATTTAGACAATAAACAATGTGCCCAGAAGGAATATAAGAAGTTCTATTTCCAAGAATCCATAGAGACCATCTGTATTACTGCTTTCTAAAATAGTTTAAACTATAAGTCTTCTGAAAAGATAAGTGAATAATTTCATTATTGGTAAATTATTTTTCTCCCTAAGCTCTGGGCTGTCACCTTTTAGAATTTAATATCTTGCTTTTATTTTGCATAGGGGCAGATCTAGAAAGTTTGAATGTCTGCAGTGGTTTTCAGAATTTTTATCTCAAGGTGAAGAGGAGCTTTGTTAATGCTTTCCTGTTTTTGTCGGTGTCAGTGTTTGGATGCCTTAAATAATTGCCTAATTAAGTAATCAGCTTTAATTGTCCAAAATCAGCAGAATTATTAGGTGTATTTGAAACAATTGCAGGCTTTTATGCGTTGAACTTTCTGGTTTGTTCTTAGAAGCTTACTTTAATAGAAACACTTGATATTTTAACTTTGACCAACATATTATTGAGTACAAATTTCATCTATTACTTTATAAAGTACCATGTCCATTATTGTAGTTAATGCATCTAATTACCAGGAATTTAAAATTGATCTGTAAATTTTTGATTGGGAGGGATTTTTCTGTAGACAAGTGTAGAGATCTTGACTAAATTACTGATTGATAGACTTGATTAATCAACATATATGCGCTTCTTTCAGTCATTGACCAATTAGAACAAACAAATGGCACCAAAAGTAGTGCAATTTGCCACTCAATTTATACAACTGAATATGATGTCATCTTTCTTTAGAGATATACAAATGGTATTGTTTTATTAACAATTATAACATAAAATTATCTTGGGTTTTCACTTGAAGGACTAAAACTCCAATAACAGTTGCATCCATGCAGACAGAATTTTAACCTAACCGTCATTTTTTAATCTCTCTTTCTCTTTTTGTTTGAGAGACTGAAATAAATGGCACATATGTTTCATGGCTAGATTTTTGCCATTTTCTTCTTGTTTCTCTAATTTTAAATATATACTTTTAAACTTTTTGCATGTGACTTGAAGTAGAAAATTCAAGCATAACTTCTCTGACAGGGACTGCTCTTTAGTGGTTCACTGGATGTTTATAATGTTGTCATTTCAAGAACAATTACAGTTGTGGGATGCACTTTACTAAGAGAAATACAGATAGCTGAAAGAAGGAATTGACCAAGAAAATATCCTCAATGTAAATTACACTGGCAAGTTTGAAGCAAATGGAAAGAAAGCAGGTGGGTGATCTGTTTCCTTTAGGCAACAATAGTACAGGTTCCTGTTTAGCTCTGTCTCACTGCATTGCTTCCATCCTCATGGAACCTGTTGACAAGACTAGCTTTTGCTGAGATTGAGGAGTCAGTAAAAAGAAATGATCAGGATCCGTGAAAACATGAGCTATCATTTGGCATTTTCTGCTAATAATATTTACATATTTTATGCAACAAATCTGCTTGTTGTCTTGTTATTTGAATATTGACACTTTGCTT